CACTTCTCGGAAGGAAGGTTGGGCAATCTACTTCTGTAGTGATACTGCTTTGGAAACCCAAGGAGGGGTCACTATGAGTCAGGTCTGACTCAATGGCACATAACAACAACAACAACAACAACAGCTTTCATGGACATTGATTATGGGTCCAATATTTTCTCTGTTTATCATGATGTTACTTACTGGTGCAGTTGTGAGGATTTTTATTAATTTATTTTTTATTTTTGCAGTGATCCCTCTCCTTCCCTCCCATCCCTGGCAACCAACAAAGAAAGTTCCCTTCCACATGTAAACCTTTCCTTGACTTTTTACAATAATGAACTAATAAAATATTTGTCCTTCTGTGACTTATTTCACTCAGTATAATGTACTCCAAGTTCATGCACATTTTGTGGTGTTCTGCAGATTCTTTAGTGTTACATAGTATTCCATTATGTATATGTACCACAGTTTGCATATCCACTCTTCTGTTGATGGGCACCTAGGTTATTTCCATCTTTTTGCTATTGTAAATAGTGCTGCAATGAATACAGATATGCATATGTCTGTTCTTATCCTGGCTTAGTTGTGAGGAATTTTGTTTTATGTTGAGGTGTAATCCACACTGAAAAGGCTGTAGCTCAAGTCATCCTCACTTTCAGCAAGCAAGGTTGTGTCATCTGCATATTGCAGGTTGTTAATAAGTCTTCCTCTAATTCTCATGCCATGTTCTTCTTCATGTAGGCCAGCTTCTCAGATTATTTTCTTAATTTATAGATTGACTCCAGAATATACAATCAAAAAATGTAGAAAACGAGTATATAGAAGTATGTTGGATAGTTAACTGATAAAAATAGGTTATTTTTCTGGATTTGGGGAGGTTTGTGGTATTTGTCAGCTTTTTAAATTTTGTAGATTGTGATTTTTTTTTCCAGATCAAATATTAATTTTCATACTCGATTTTGTAATTTTTTCCTTAAAGATGTCCCCTCAAATTGTGTAAACTTCAGGAGCCATACAACCTGAGTCCACTTGAGTCCCATAATGTGCTAGGCACTATTCTGAGAACAAAAGATACATCGGTGAACAAAATAAAGAAAAAGAAAAACTCTTTTGTGAAGTTTACATTCCAGTTGGAGGTGAAAGACAAAACAAAAACAGTAAGTAAGTAAATTAAGTAGGATGTTAGAAGGTAAGTGTCATTGAGAAAAGTTGAGGAAAGTAAAAGGGGTAGAGACTGTGACACAGAAGTGTGGGTGAGATGAAATTGCAATTTTTAATCGGGTGATCAGGATTGGCCTCATTGAGAAAGTGATTCTGAGCAAACATCTGAAGGAATTGATAATACCAATAGAATCTATGATAATACATATGATTAGTGGTACTTTACTATTCTATTCAGGCCCTGCTTTAGACTATCCCAAAGATAGTCTTATGCCCATTAAAACCAGTTGCCATAGAATCTGACTCACAATGACCCTATGTGTGTACAATAGAAGTGTGTTCCATAATATTTACAAGGCTGTGACCCTTTTGAAAGTAGATCACCAGCTGCCTCTGGGTGGGTTCAAACTGCCAAACTTTTCGGTATTAGTCAAGTGCTTAACTGACTTCACCACCTGGGGACTCCAAAGAGTAATCAGTAGGAAGGAGAAGTAGTAACAGTCGGAACAGCGTAAGAACTGAATGGCTGCCTGGAGTTGGCAATCTTAGGGTTTATAGTAAAAAACACAGGGATACTAAAATATCACTGAAAAATACTGTATTTTCCAAAAGGTCTTTTGGGGCTGAGACCCCCAAGGGTATGACTTTTAAGGAGATCCGGTCTGATTAACTGTTATGTTTTGTTTGCTGAGTAGGGAGATGACAAAGCATTCAGGGCAATAGAAAAAAAAAAAAAAAGAAAAATGGTAAAAGGAAACTAGAAGCATGACACTCAGGCAGTGTTACAGAATGAAAAATCTGGTACCAAGAGTTGCCACCAAGACTTGTCCTTTATTACCCTTTCCAATTTAGCATTTAACCTTTCCTTTAAATAAAAATTGGAAAAGTCAATGGAAAATATAAGTTTAAAGAGTATATCATTGGCTTGTCTTAGAAATAATAAAAATAACAGAATGGGACTACAACTGTAAAAATTTTAAACATTTTTTAAGAGTACCATATGTTCTTTTTTCACAAACAGCTGTGATATAGAAGAAAAAAAATAGACAAGTCAGAACTGGATAGAAGTTTTGGTCCTGCCACTTAGCTGTTTACCCTTGGGCAAAGCTAGAAAGGGAAAAACTTTTCTGAGGCTTAGTTTTATTATCTACAAAGTGGGGATGACAATAAGTTTCTTTCATGACAACTGAAAGAAGGTAATTGTGTTTAAATGAACCCTTTAATCAACAAAGCAGCATACATATTTGGCATAGAAACAATAATGCTACATAGACTTATGTAATGATTACAGACATGATCTATATTCTAATTTAAATTGTGGTTATTGATGAATAGTGCTATAAAAATTTAATATATAATCTTTCTTCAAGTAACTTCAAGAAAGAAATCTAACTTAAAACTTTTCAACATCTTTTTGTGTGATGTTAGAAAAAAAGACTAGGATCCTTGGTGAAGCAAACAGTTAAGCAGTCAGCTGCTAATTGAGAATTGGCGGTTCAAACCCACCCAGTGGCTCCTTGGGAGTAAAACTTATGGGGCAGTTCTACTTTGCCACATGAGGTCACCATTGAGTCAAAATCAGCTTGACAGCACCTAACAACAACAAAACAACAGAAAAATAATAATTTAAAAAACCAAACTCACTTCCATGGAGTTGAATCTGACTCATAGTGACCCCTCCTTGGGTTTCTGAGGTGCTATCTCTATGGAAGTAGATTACCCAATCTTCCTTCCAAGGAGTGGCTGGTGGGTTTGAACCATCAGCCTTCTGGTTAGCAGTCAGATGCCTTAGGCACCACACCACCAGAGCTGCTATAAATGTATTTTAAAGCAAAATATTTTTTATTTGAAAGGATATTGAAGGAATGACCTTTAACCAAATAAAAGTTCAGCATCAAAATGACTGGCTATTTTCTCCAAATTGCCAGCTCAGCAGAGTGATTCTTAAATGATACTCCTGGTCAGCAAGAAAGATGATGTGAAGAGTGAGCACAAGTAGCCTCTCTTCAACAGGTGTGATACCTATAATTTATAAGCAGTGATCACCTCTCATGAGAAATTTCTTGGTGTCTAAACAAGAATGAAATTATATTTTTCATTTGGATTAAGCACGTTGAAGAAAACAATCTTTTCTTACGCCTATTCTTTCTAATCGATACGTTTATCTCTTTACATACATATAAGCAGTGTGTTAAAAGACTTCATGTTTGGTGTTTATTTTTTTTCTTGGAAGAGACTTCATGTTTGAGGAATGTGACCTTGAAAGCTACTTTCACATACAGAGTTATAAATGTTCAATTAAAAAACAAAAAAGCCAAAAAATAAAAAACAAAAATGCAAACTTGGTGCCATTAAGTCAATTCCAACTCATCGCAACCGCATTGGTTTTCCTGGCTGTAGTATTTATGCATGCAGATTATCAGGCCTTTCTTCCCTGGCGCTGGTAGATGGGTTTGATTCCCAGCCTATAGGTTAGTAGTCAAGCACAAACCATTTGCACCATTCAAGCACCTCAATGTTCAATTAATCTTCAGAAGGGTGTCCCTAAACATTAAGGAAGTGCTGGAAGGTATAACAACATTAAAGGAAGGAAAGAAAGAAGAAAAGAATTTCACTACCAAAGTTTTCATTCTTTAACACTCTGCCTGGGTATCATGTCTAGCTTCCTCATATCATGTGTCTTTCACTTCCATCTTTATTGTATTTATCATTCCTTTAATTTGTGCCATTTTGCTGCCCTTGCTCTTCACAGTATCTTTGTCCCTTAGGTATTTTACTTTCTAAGCTTATATCTTCTCTTTCACTCTTCTCCCCTTGTACAGCTCTGCCACATACTATTTCTTTACTATATATTTACATAAGCAAGTGCTAAAATACAATCGAGCAAACACTGTGACATTGATTTATTGGAAAGCTTTGTGCAAATTAGTTAAAATTGAGAGCTCTGGAGAAGAAGGTCTCTTCCTCTTCCATCTACAGGGCAAAATAATTGGGAAATATAAAATATGTAGAGAACAATTAAAGACTGCATAGAATTGTGTTCGCTATATTCTATGACCTATCAAAAACAGCCAGTCCGTGTCCTGAGAAACTTTGGCTGTCCTCAGGGCCTTCGATCAAAGCCCTTGCCATCACCCTCCCTCCACTTTCCTCACACCCACAATATATTTTTATTTCTTACATCCCTTCCTTCTACTTCCACCTCTTTCTATATCCCACGATTCTTCCCAAATCTCACCCTCTGTTACGCTCTTCATTTTTCACCTCCAGCCTTAAAGCCCACTCTGTTCCTCTGGTCCCCCCACTCCGGGGTCGTGTCCCCTTTACCCTCTTCCTCGCAACATTTGGCCGCTTTCTACCCTATTTCTGACTAAACACACCTGGCTCGCGACCCCTCCCTCAAATTCCCCAGCGCCGCGTTCCCTCGCTACACCCACAACTGTCGCCACCTCAGGCTCAGCACACTGACGTCCCTTACCCGCGGGCGTGGGAGCGTCCGCCTCCTCGTATGCCCTCTCTACTGGGCGCGCGCCTGGCTCTCTGCTTGTTTCTCATTTCCCACCTAGTCTAGGCCCCTCCTCCGCCCCTCTTCTCGGGACCCGGTCCG